TCAAATCAAATCAAATCAAAATCAAATTGTGTGAATCCGGCCTCCCCCCATTGACTTTGTCGGAATCCTCTTGAGATGATGATCACATGACCTCATGACACACCACCATGGTAAATATATGTTGGTTCCCAAGTGCCTGAATTTTGATCATGTGACCCCTGGGGATGATGCAATGGTCATAAGTGTGAGGTCCAGTTGTAAATCTCTTTTTTAGAACATTTTGTAACTGAATGGTTCCTAAATGAATGCTTGTAAATCAAGGATTGCCTGCATTGTTTTATTACACACCACCCAGAGAGGTTGACAGGAGGTGAGGAGACCTATGTGGAAGGTGAGTAAGTTGGGATCCACCTTTGAAGCCGTACTCGATCCCGAGGCTCAGGATTCCTTCCGCTCCTTTTCCAGGAAAGTGGGAACTCGGAGGTGATCCTGATGATCCTGGATCTGTGCAGCCTGGACTCCGTGCGAGCTTTTGCGCAGACCTTCTTAGAATCGGAGCCCCGTCTGGACATCCTCATCAACAACGCAGGTGGGGGCAGAGCAGACCCTCCCCCCCAGGGTCTCCGGGCGAGGAAGGGGAGAATATTTGGGAGAGGGGGGATTGTCCGGGATTTCTGTAACTCTGTGAGGTGGGTTGGGGAGAGAGGGGGGGGGACTAGAACTAGAACTCACCGTCTCCTGGTGATTGGACCAAAGCTATCCAGCGGCCTTTCGGGATGAAGCAGGATTAAGCCAATCATTTTCTAGGCTCAACCACTAGACCAAATTGGATGCTTTACATACAATCCTCAAATTATGATCACGATGGAGCCTGCTGATTATGGTCATAAGTTGTGATGGTTGTAAAGCAGGTCTGACCTCTGTGACCAATACTATCTGATACCCTTTTTTTTGAGGCGGTTGTTAAACGAACCAATTATTCACTGTCGGGTGTTTTTGTTGAAAACTGCATTTTTAATAAATTGCAGTCATTTCACATGTTGCCAAGGGCGGGGCCTGTTGCTAAGCTCCCCAAATGCTACCGTGCGACCACAAGCGGGAGCCACTGGAACTTTGGAACCGGGTCGTAATCGCAAAGTGACCTGTCGTAAGCCGAGGACTACCTGTAATCCGCTTCTTTTTCTGGTAGGGGTCTTTCAGGGTGGCCAAACCGCCGATGGCTTTAGCCAGAACTTCCAGGTCAACCACTTGGCCCACTTCCTGCTGACCCACCTGCTCCTGGACCGGCTGAAGCACTGCGCCCCGAGCCGGATCGTAATTCTGGCCTCAAGTCTGCACGCCTATGGGAAGATCGACTTTCGGACCATCCACAAGCCGGTGGAAGGGATATGGCAGGTGATAATATCGTACAGCATCAGCAAACTAGCCAACATTCTCCACGCAAGAGAGTTGGCCAACCGTCTGGAAGGAACCAATGTTACTTGCTATGCGGTTCATCCAGGTGAGTAAGAGTCCGGCTCCAAGGCACCCCATGTCATGGAGCTCCCCACACAGGTCCCTCTGGGGCTCCGCCAGGCATTTCTCTCCCAGTGGGGGCTCCCTCGACCCCCCTCTGCAGAGCCCCCTCGGGAGTTTCCTCCATCGAGCTCAACACCGGTTATCGTGGCCTGAAACAGGGGCGGAATTTTTCCGGTGCCTGTGGAGATTGTCTGCCAGAGTGGTTTTTTCAGGAGGCAACTGGACTTTCTTGTTTTTTCTTTCGAAGACGTTTCTCTTCTCATCCAAGAAGCTTCTTCAGCTCTGACTGGATGGAGGGGAAGGGAAGGATTGATGCTCCTTGCAGACAGCTGGTCATTTGCATCCTTTTAGCGAGTCGTTGAGGCCACTTGGAGGATTATCTGTGTCCCAGGGTCACCTGAGTGGTGCAAATGGTTCCTGTAGTCTGTACTTTTTCCTCTGGGAATCCATTCCTGCTCCCACCCCATTCCAGGGGTCTTCATCCCAAATTGCATAGNGGCGCTGTATGCGTCCTGTGCATGCGTGGAAGCGCAGAACTCGTCAAAACTGGGTAAGGACCGCGGGCGGGCGCGCCCTTCGCTGTTCCTGGAAGTTACTTACTTCCGGGTTCGGCAACCAACCGGTTCGCAGGGACCGCCGCGAACCGGTTGAAACCCACCCCTGCACTATACCTACAAACCAGAGGTGGGTTGCTCCCGGTTCAGCTCAGTTCAGCCGAACCGGTAGTGGCAGCGGCGGTGGCAGGCTCTGCCCACCTGCCCGGATACCTGCACATGTGCAGAAGTGTTGCACGTGAGCGCACACCAAGCATAAGCGGACCAGTATTAAGCCGGCTAGCCACCCACCACTGGTACAGATGCAAATGTATATTTAAGAGAAACCCTAACAGATGAACAGAGTTGGAAGGGATCTTGTAGGTCATCTAGTCCAACCCACCATCCAAGCATTAAATAAATTTAAATAATTCAACTTCAACAAATACATGTATATCAAATCAGTGGACAGTGCAATAGACGAGATGAAATATTGTTATTCTAAAACCATGATAAAATCGCCATAATATGGCACTATAGAGTTAGAATGGGATAGATATTATACAGATAATCCTCAATTTACAACAGTTCATTTAGTGATTGTTCAAAGTTTAAAGGCACTTATGACTGTTTTTCACATTTATGACCATTGCAGTATCCCAATGGTTTGGGATCACAATTAAGATACTTGGCAACTTACTCACATTTATGACGATTTCTGTATCCTGGAGTCATGCAATCACCTTTTGTGACCTGTGACAAACAAAGTCAATAGGGAAAATAGATTCACTTAACAGCTATGTTATTAACTTAACAACTGCAGTGATTCACTGAACAACTGTGGGAAGAAAGATTGTAAAATAGGGCAAATTCACTCAACAGCTGTCTCCCCTAGCAACAGAAGTTTGGGGCTCAGCTATTGGTATAACGTATATATTGCCTTTCTATATAATAGGTGGACACTACAATAGGCAAGATAAAATAATAGAGAAAACCCATAATAAAATCCTTCCAAGATCAGTAAAATGAGGAGCCGGATGGTTGGGGCCAGTCGGCTGAGCACTTAGAGAGGGCTGTCAATCACTGTGAAGGGGTATAAAAATTTAAATGCTACTGCTATAATATGGCGCCATAGAGTTACAATGGGATAAATGTTATAATTCGATGCCCAAGGGAAGCTAACTATCTAACTGCATGAGATCATCTCAACTGCCTTGAAATTTCCTAAGAAGGGATTTTTGGACTAAATTGTTATTGTCGAGGAATTGTGCATAGATGGATGGAAAAGATGATTGATAAAAAGAGATAGATAGATAGATAGATAGATAGATAGATAGATAGATAGATAGATAGATAGATAGATAGATAGAT